ACAGTGTCCTTTTCTAGTTACTGCACGTGTACATCATCTAGTGTGCAGTACGTCTCAGTTGTGTACAGTGTCCTTTTCTAGTTACTACACGTGTCCATCATCTAGTGTGCAGTACGTCTCAGTTATCCTTATCAAAACAAATCAGCTGGAATACTTCATTCCATCTTCATTTCATGCGGAAGTGTCCACTTAATGATTGGCTTTTTCAAGCCCTATTAAGGCTATCCACAGCCCTTCACCCCCTGCATATATTCAGAAGGTTGGTCGTAGTTTTCTTGTCCTTTATGACACTTTATCGACATCTTTTTTTGCACTTTGGTAGAAACATAGCTGTTTAGGACATTTTGATCCTTTCTTGCACTATTTGGCGTCTTAACGCAACCTTTTTGCATCTCGTAGTGGGTTTTTTTTATTATTGCATCTGGCCTTGTAAGCAATTTTTGTACCACTTTTTACAAGTTCATGTCATGGATGAGTCGTAGCTGGCTTGGATCCTATGATCTTTTTTCTCACCATTATCCCAACAGTATTCAATGTTGCATCTTGCGTGAGGGTCATACTTAACAGCACGATTCGTAAACATGCCCTTGATCACAGCTCCCGCCCGGTTCTCCTTGTGTACGAGAAGAAGTTTCATAGGTATTTCTAACGTCTCCATAGTTATTCCCATTGATTTCTTTTCTTTCAAGAAAGCCCCTTTCTTCTTCTTTATTTTCTACATAAACCTTCCCATTTCCTCCGTTGACCTTAGACACGAGTGCCAACGGCTGCGACTGTGATTTATTGAACGTAGCCCTGCTGAAATGCGACCTCGGGTCATCTATGGAAGTATCACAGCCCAAATACTTGCCAACATTAACAGTCCCACAAGTTAGAATCCGAGCAAACTCCCGCCTGTAGTTCAAATTAAAAACAGCGTATATGATGGGGTTGAAGGAACTGTTGGCCGTGGTTAGCCAGAGAGCAAAACACATGGCGTAAAATGTAGGCTCATCTGAGTTTTTTAAGTCAATAGCAATGATCATGACGTGAAATGGTAGCCAACAAAGTGCAAATATTACGATCACCATAATGAGCATGCGCACGACGCTGACACGAGCACGGTGGGCACCTGTTGGTAAGAAAATCAAGAATAGGATAATATGAGACATTATCATATGACCCGTACGGCCCTGCTCGCGCGCTCTAATAAAACCATTGGAAAAAGTCACGTGATGGGGGCCGGACGGGTTGACGTAAGCGGGCCGGAAAAACCCGCCCGGCCCTGCTCGAATCCGCGCGCTTTCTTTTTTTTAATTATTTTTATTTTCGTGAGGGTCATATGATAAAATGCTTATTGACTGAGTTAGGTCGGGCCGTACAGGGAAAATATTTGGCTCTCGGTCATTTGTACGACATGACCTCGAGCCAAATATTTTCCCATACGGCCCTCCCACTCAGTCAATAAGTACATAATAATAACATTTCTATTTTTTTATACATGATTGGTAGCAGTGGTATTAGTAGTGGTGGTGTGGTGGTGTGGTGGTGTGGTGGTGTGGTGGTGTGGTGGTGTGGTGGTGGTGTTAATGATGGTAGTATTGTTAGTAATTGTATATATGGTTATATTTACTTCATTTCTGTTATTCGGATTACATGCTCGTATAACTTTTCAATCTCCTTTGTCAGAAAATCACGAAAGGCAAAAAAAAAAAACAACAACAAACAAACAAACAAAACAAAACAAAAAAAAAAAACCCAACATTTTACGGATCCTTATGTCCTTCATTAATTTATAACTAATTGATACATATCAGCCTTGTTATGACAAAAATAGCAGCACTATCTTCTAAATAAAACTTCACGATTTTTAAAACTATCTGTTAGCCTTTAAAAATCAAAATGGCACTTAAATAGATAACGACAAGAACGCCTATCAATCTTATAAACATGTCACAGAAGGTTACAAAATATATTGATCCTATGACTGACATTAATGATCACTGTTAAGTAGCCTGATACGCCAGAGACGCAATAATATGATGGTTAGGGCGGTCCTTGTCGAAGCCAAGGTGAATTATTACATCTTTATGGCTATCTAAAAATGATAAGATATATAGCTAAGACATCGACGACATTCCTTATCAAAGTGGCCATAAACAAATAATTATAATGAAAGTATTGGACGGAAGGAAGATTCGTGAAACGTGGCATTTATATGACCATGAGAATAGAATGATAAGTGTATATTAAATGACTTCAAGACCAACGCGATGAATTTGGTTAAAAGTATACATAGGTTGAATCGGTACATGTCGGTTATTTAACCGCTACAAATATGATATCGCGACTGTCTGAGGTCTGTAGTTAAGAATGAAATATTTAACAATGTATTTCGTCCTTTTTATTGACAAATATATAGAAATATATGATATTTTTCTCGCAAGGTGCTTAGTGGACCAACAGACCAACAGACTGACTTAATTAATGAAAAATATATAATTACTAAAGTCCACATTTGCTACAGAATTATTTGAAAAATACATAAATATATAGAGCGTTTCGAAATAAGAAAGAAGCAAAAGCGACAAATCACATGACGAAAAAATATATAAACAAAAAAACAAAAAACTACAAATAAATAAACAATCAAACCAACAATATATAAGCCGGAAACGAAACCAATAAATATGAATAAATAAAATAGAAAAAATAAAATAAAATAAAATAAAATAAAATAAAATAGTGAGCGTAATTTACGGATGTACTACACAGGATCCGGACTTCGAAATAACTTCTAGTGCTGGTATAAAGTTATGGTTTTTCATATTGCATTAACTTTGAGGTTTTTATTTAACGTATCATATCTATAATATAGAGCAGTTTTCGTATAACTGCGAACTCACGGCACGAACACGGTCGTGACACATATTGCTCGAGAATTTACTCTCCATCCAATCAAATATCCGGAACACGGCGTAAACACGGCACAGACAAGGTCACGTTAAAGTCACGGAACTGTCAAGCCAATCATATTGCATGAGAAAAAAATCAGCCAATTAAAATTCTAGAAAGCATGGCACGGCACGTTTACGGTACTGAGCTTTTCACAGTCATGAGAAAAGTGCTCTAACGAACGGAAGTTTTCTTTTTATAATTTCTTAAGTTCACATGTAGAGTAGGTCAAATGAGGTGAAAATTACGAGCTCGCGTACCATCGACCAATCAGAAAGCGCGCATGCGCAACGCGATATGAAGGAGGCAGCTTGTGCTTCTAGAAGTGCCTTTTAAACTGGCCATGACGTTCTGAACAAAGGGAGCACGGCAGAAATAAATTAGTTGATTGGTCTGACGGCTGCGCGAGGGGAAAACTAGTACTAATTTCCCCCCTCCATCACGCTGTCTTCGGTGACTGACTCTCTGTGAGCGCACGCGATTGAAAACACCAATAAGAAATATCCAAGTTTCGCCGAATATCTTTTACGTGGTTTTTTAAATATCTATGGCACATTGTGGTCTACAGCTACTGTCCCAAAAACACCATATTGGACATTTTGATTTTAACTTTGCTTCCAATAGACTATTGATATTGATTGATTGATTGATTATGGACTATGATGCACCATGTTCACGATCTCAAAACCCCACATACGCTATACTCTATAATATTTAATCTAAAAAGTGCATAGATATATAACTGATACTGTCGATCGATTATTGATATCCATCTCTGTGGCGTCGTCTGAAAGGACCTTGTGTAGATAAGTTTTGATTAAACGAAGCAAAAAAGGTTTCAAAACCCTTTATCATTATAACACATTTTTGATAAACGGTATTTGATGGACACCGTTGTACCGCTGCACTAATAGCTGTTGTAATCAGTCAGAAACACTTGAGCCCATATGCTTAGTTCATTTGCAATAAAGGCCAACGCAGATTAATTATTATATATATAATACATATGCATATACTAATATGTTAAGGTGTTAAATGCGAATTTTTGAAAATCAGCATTTTCTGGTATCTCTTAGGGTCTCGGAAAAGGAGAGAAGCGCGCATCGATATGGCTTATCCTAGGCGCTTTTTATATAAAATTTAATATTATTTGTTGTGGTATCTTTTAGGGGTTAAAAATCATTCAGCCACGCCCTTTTTAAAGACTTCCGGTATCTTTAAGGGGTCTTTCCGACGAGCATCCCCGGTACTGGTCCCCCCCCTCCCCCCACGGTTTTTTCTCCTCTCCTTAGCTTGGTAAGTTTAAGGCAGCTCGCAGGTGCAAGCGTGCTGGAAAACATGATGGCATGAAAATAGCATGTACGGGGCAGCAAGATGTCAATAGCCTGGGGAATTACCTAGGGGGTATTCATCTTAATTATCACGTTGTTAAAAGACTGATTTCAGGATTCACCACGTGTAGTGGAGCATAACTTGATAATGTCTTACCAGGTATTTTTCAAAGGGAAAAATTCACAGTACAGTTTCCGTTGTATATACTGATCTATTTTCCTTTCCTTTCCTTTCCTTTCCTTTCCTTTCCTTTCCTTTCCTTTCCTTTCCTTTCCTTTCCTTTCCTTTCCTATTCTTTCCTTTCCTTAGTTCCTTTCCTTCGCATTTCTTTTGTTTCGTTTCTTTTCCTCTATTCCCTTTCCAATTTCTTTCTTTGATAAAATCGGGTTTAATCAGGATAATCTGTTAATATAGCTGTTATTCATAACAACCACACATATTGACAGCCATTTGCCGCACTTCCAGTCGTCTTCAATTACCTTAATTGAGCACGAGCTTCAAATTTTACCACGTACAACCTGTATATATCGTCGCGCACACATGCATACACACACGTTCTGGCCACTACACACGAGCCTCTGTGACATTTATTTGTAATGCTTTGATCACGCATATCTACGTCCAATGAATGTCATTTGCATTTATTATCAAACCAAAGCTAGCTAGATGGTCCTTCAAGTAGTTCACCACAAGTAGATCAAGATACCTTATCTACGTACGATCAAACAGGTCCACAGAACGTGAGAAAGGATCGGAAATTCAAAGTCATTTTCAATTAGGATACGTATCTTGTTATTGAAAAAATACTTGGGTGTTGTACTTGGTCAACTCCTAGCAATGCCATCGAAAGTAATTAAAGATTGTAAACAAAACTGTAGACAACATGGGGAGCCAACAAGACGCTTCCACAATCGAGTTTCCTTGCCTGGTATCTCACATACATCAGGAATAGAACACGTAAAACTACAAGCAATCAAAGCAAAATAACGAAATGCTTTGTCCTTGAACCTATTCTAGATAGTCTAAATAATTGTCATTTTAAGGAGAATGTACTTGGTATCCTATACGTTATAGAAATAAACTCACATAGGTGGCTGATATAGTCGTGTAGAAACTTCTCACTCAACCACTTCCTCGCAACCTTCTTCCCTATTCCTATTTTTTGTTTTCATTATCTACTTTTCTCTCTTTCTTTCTTTCTTGCTCCATTACTTTCCTTCCATCTTTCTTCCCATTCAGTCATACATATTTCTAAAGGTTTTAAAAAAACTTTTCACAGTTTCCAATTTTATTTGTTTTCCATTGTTGCTTCTCTGCTTCGTTCTGTTCTTCTCTATTTTTTCCATTCCTTTTTCTTTTCTTCCTTTTTTCACTATTCCTTTCAACCCTCAGTCGTACATCTCTCTCTCTCTCTCTCTCTATTCTCTCACTGCCTTCTTCTACATTTTGTCCCTTTCGATCAATCAATTAATCAATATTACTCATTGCACATGGGCATTTCTCTTTGATCATTTTGGTATATTTTTCTATTCATTTATTTGCTTTACCATTAAGCTCCTATCATATTCATCTTTACTACTTCCTTACTTTCCGGTCATATTCTTTTCCCCTCCGGAAAAATAAAACCAATAACAAATATGTTATAATAATCAGTTCTAAAATCTCTTTCTATTACGATTCTTAGCAGGCCCTAGACACGACCAGATAAAATTAGAAAAATTCATCGTTCAAATACATAGTGATTGTATATCTCTCACTTATTCTAAGCTGAAACGACTTGCATTAATATTTTCTTGATGACCTCGATATTTCCTAGTCAGGTAGCAAAGAGTAAAATGACATCAC